CAGGGAAATGTCTTTTTCACGACTCATGAAAACCAGCCTCACGCCGTTTCTGTGTTTCTACACGCTTCCGTTTCTGTGCTGTGCTAGCGGTGATTGTACGTTTTAGCCGGGCGGCATCACCTTTTTTTCCTTTACATGTTTTGTCATATAGCATCTCGGTGTTTGCAACTTGAGTGACAATTTGTTCCCCATTGACAGCGTCTGTACTTCACACGTGTTTAACAATGGGACTGTTTAATTTGTCCCGGCAAGTTCAAACCGCCGTGGCGTAGACGGTGATAATTTATGCAGTGCTACGTGTGAGCGGGTCAAATGGACGTAAACAATGCATCCTATTAACATGGCGGTGAAGTTGTAAGCATGGCGGTCCGAGCCCAAGCGTGGCGGCCGGGTCGCCAAGCATGGCGGTGGCGCCATGCTTTGTTCTATGTGGGGAGAACACTGACTCCACTAACATCAAGAATCTGTGCAATATTCTCTTCACTATAGGCCACTCCACTAATGTCAAGAATGTGTATAGTGTACCACTTGCTAAATACCTTCCCACTAATGCCTAGAATCTATGTATTCCAACACAACTCCTCTAATGCCTAGCATCTATGACGTGTTTCCCTATAAGCCATTCATTGACGCCTCGAATCTATCTAGTGTTACACTTATGTGTGGAATCTATGTAGTCTTTCACTCACTACGGTATTTGCCACTCCACTAAAGCCTAGAATCTACCGTTAACGGTACAGTGTATGCAATACTCTTTTTCACTATACATCACTTCACTAACTGCAAGAAACTGTATTGTTTCAATCACTCTACACCATTCCATTAATGCCTAGAATCTACATGTATGTGATGTTCCTACCACTGTTCGCCCCTCTGTTAATAATCTGTGTTGTGTTGTGCTAATGCCTAAAATGTTTTGTAGAGTTGTTTAAAATTTGACAGTTTATATGTTTGTTTTTTTTAACTTGACAGGTTTTCTTTGATCTTATGAGGGAGATTCGAAACCACAAGGCAGAAGATGGTCAGAAACAAAAGCAAAAAACTGGTAAAAAGCAGGGTGGAAAAAAGAAGAAGTGTGTCATTCTATAAATTTTTATAATCTGCTAGTCAGGTCTTTTGTCATGGACACTCAAAATCACAAAACAACAATTAAGTCTTAGGGTTTAGTCAGTAAACTTCTGTCGGTTCTCAATGAAATTGAGATATCTTTGCATGAAATGTATCACGTCTGAAAGGACACTGTAATCTTAAATGATGTGTAGATTTCTTTGATAGGTACTGAGCAAAGTCCATGATATCTAATCTGACATATGTCACTCCTGTGCACTGGCCACATTGAAGAAGAAACTTACCTAAGAGTCTTAAAAAAATGAGCCACCATGTACATGTATGTAGAGAGACTGTGTTGATTACAAGCCTGCTATGTGAACCAATTGCAGTTGAAGACATTTTTATTGTGTGTATATAATGTTACTAACGACTAAGAAGTCTTAGTTTCTAGTGATAGTTGATGTATTACCCGCGACATACAGATTTAAAAAAAATCTATAAAGCATCACGGTTTTGCATTTATTTAACTAGATTGTCATAAGTTGACTGTGTTCACAAATATTACCATATAAATGACATTGTTTATTATTAGTTTTGAAAATACTTTTCTTTTGATGTTTTACCTTTGAGCTGATATTGTTTACTTATACCATATGTGTCTTTATTTCGAGTAGTTTTCAGACAATTAGATAGATCAGAAAGGTTAGAGTACATTGTATAACTGAAGTACAAAAATTGTTCAAGATTATTGAGGGGAAGGGGGGTTCGGTCGGTCGCATTTATTTAAAAAATTTTCAAAATCTAAAATGGCTGTGCATCATGGCTCATACTAGAATAGACTAACATAGTATAGCAGAACTTTAATGTATAGTTGATTGAAGTGCAAATCTGTTTGTGGTCATTTGATCCAACCAACAGTTCGCAGACTACTTCATAAAAACACACTCCCACATTGTGAGATAGTTGTATTACTGGCTACGTTTTTGTCGTGGATTATACTGTAAAACAGCTTCCCAACACTTATGAGTAATTATAGATGCAATGAATTGAGCAGAATACCATGCCAATTGCCAGATATATCTAGAATATGTAAATTAAAATGACACGCTTACAATTCCAAATGTGTTTCTTACCAAAGATACCAGACTATTTATCTCTGTATCAAAAGAGTAACTGTTATTAAGGTAGAACAAAAATGCCATTTGCTGCTTGTATTAGAAGTATATTCTGTCATCAAAGCCAGTTGATGTTAACTCTCAGTTGACGTTTAACTCTCAGTTGATGTTTAACTCTTACTTGACATTAACTCTCACTCGACATTAACTCTCAATCGACGTTAACTCTCAATCGACGTTAAATCTCAATCGACGTTAACTCTCAATCGACGTTAACTCTCAATCGACGTTAAATCTCACTCGACATTTAAACTCAGTTGACATTTAACTCTCAGTTGACGTTTAACTCTCAGTTGACATTAACTCTCAGTTGACATTAACTCTCACTTGATGTTTACTCTCACTCGACATTAACTCTCACTTGATGTTAACTCTCACTCGACATTAACTCTCACTTGCCGTTAACTCAGTTGACGTTAACTCTCAGTTGACGTTTAACTCTCAGTTGACGTTTAACTCTCAGTTGACATTAACTCTCACTTGATGTTAACTCTCACTCAACATTAACTCTCACTCAACATTAACTCTCACTCGACGTTAACTCTCACTCGACATTAACTCTCACTCGACATTAACTCTCACTTGATGTTAACTCTCACTCAACATTAACTCTCACTTGCCGTTAACTCAGTTGATGTTAACTCTCAGTTGATGTTAACTCTCAGTTGACGTTTAACTCTCAGTTGGCATTAACTCTCACTTGATGTTAATTCTCACTCGACATTAACTCTCCCTCGACGTTAACTCTCACTCGACGTTAACTCTCACTCGACGTTAACTCTCACTCAACGTTAACTCTCACTTGATGTTAACTCTCACTTGATGTAACTCTCACTTGATGTAACTCTCAGTTGACTTTTAACTCTCAGTTGACTTTTAACTCTCAGTTGACGTTAACTCTCACTTGATGTTAACTCTCACTTGATATTAACTCTCACTTGATATTAACTCTCACTTGATATTAACTCTCACTTGATATTAACTCTCACTTGATATTAACTCCCACTTGACGTTAACTCACAATTGACAATTAAGTTTTTGACAGCTTTAAAATATTACTCAATCATTATCATTTACTTTCTTTATCAGAAATATAGTAGTTTATTGTAAATATTAAAATTTGCTGATTTTTTTTTGAATTATGATTGCACTGAATTGGATAAACATGTTCTCAGTCTCTACCTTCTTTGCTACTGACTTTGTTGATCGTATGTTCAAATAATGTTTGTTGAAATGTTCAAATAATGTTGATTTTTAAATGTGAATGGCCATCTAATTTTTATTCTAAAATTAATGAAATTCAAGGAATTTATAAAAAAATTGGAAGAAAATGTCCACGCATATTGGATGCAATGTGTAAGTTTTGTTTCTGTCTGCGGTTATGGCGATGTGACAAGCTTCTGTCAGGCCTGTTGTTTATTACTTCACGGTTTTCAAACTAGTATGCTTCTCCACATAGGACACCAATGCCAATTTCACGACCAAACAACGCTGCACATCCAATGAACTAGTGCTTCCAATTTTATGCGAACCAGTAAAATTATTTTATTTTACTGTAGATGCATTAATCATTCATTTAAATTTTAAACTCTCTATTTTCACTAATAAGAAGAGTCTGCTAAATTTAATTCGTGTGACCTTGTCAAATTACAATAGAACTTGTATACTGACAAGGCATCAATTTGGTGTCTCTCTGAAGTTCAAGCTCAAATCTGGCAAGGTATCAATTGCCTTTGATTCCTTCGTGAAGTACTGTACTGGCACATTCATGAATTTAGAATCCAAGTGGAAATGCACATAATTCTCGTTCGACGTTGCTAAGATACACACTACTGTACCATATATATCTATGGGCTTTGCGCAAGCTGCTTCAAAATGCTGCTCGAAAAGCTGGTGAAAAAGTTAAAGTTAATGCTAAAGAAACTGTACAAACTCAACTTTGAAGTAATCTGAGCAACCAAATTTATATATGTTGCACGTGTAGGTTTAATCTTTTTACACTGTTCATGGGAGTCTCAACAACTAATCGTAAAGTACAGTTTTCCTGATGTATGCCAGGCAGTGAAAATGCCTGGATGGCCTGCCCCTCGAGAATAGTGAAATTAAAATGCCAGTGAAAATAAATGCTTTTACATTATTTTTTTACTATGTTTGCCATTGATTTGACAAATTTAAATAATATTTGTTGTATTCAAGGTGCATACGTGGTTGTATTTAAAATAAAGCTGAAAGCTGTTTTCATTTGATATATACTATTTCAGTATATTTGTGAAATGTACACATTTCTTGTCATTTGTATCTGATGTGCTGATTTTCATTATTAATTACTTATTCTAATTTGCTTGTGGTGCAGAAATTGACCAATACAAACAGAGCTCTGTCAGTATTGGATTTCTATCTCTATCGGTCACTTTGATTAGTTATGAGACCAGTGAGAACTATGTCTCTTCGATTGGTTGTATAATTGACCAATGACATGTTATTTTCTATGATTGTTAGGTAATCTGTCATTATTTTCTATTGGATTTCTCAGTGATTGGTACTATTTTGAAAGGTACACAGACTGCATATTTAATTAGGTAATCAAAATAGATTTTTATAGTGACAAAAAATGGTAGTAATGACGAAATTTATACAAATTTCTGATGATACCATGGAGAAATAGTCCAAAGTATTTGTGTTCATTGTATAAATTACGGTAGAAGTGGTATATTTCTCATAGTTTTGACGAATGTCTTCACTATAGTTGATTTGATAATGTGTAACTGATCAAGTAATAGCGATGTTTCAACCATCTGATATGTTGATATGTTAACATTATGGAGATTGCACAGACCATATCAATGTTAGGCAAATTTGTGTGCATGTCATTAAGGTCCATTAACTGGATATGTTAATGAGATATTGTGTGTATCTGTTCTTGCTTGTCTCATTTTTTATTTCGATTTTGTTGTTAGATTGTCTTTCATATTGTACGTGCGTTGCACCACATTTTAAACAGTTAGTCTGCATAAATTTGCATACACTAGATAAATTCTATTCTTGTATCCAATCTGACATCCTGTAGCCGTACATTTTGAATTCTGCATTACTGTATTCTTGCTCGGAATTTATTTTTGCTGGAGAAACAAATCTATGATAATGAAATCTACTTTCGATAAAAAATAAACCAAGATGTTGTTTTCCACAGTTGTGGTCGTCGCTGTTGCCATCAACAATACAGCATGGATTTTTTTTCTTCGAACAAACTAGTTTACGCTCGTATTTGTTGCATGGAACCCATATTAAACAGTACATGTATCGACGCCCACCACCCTTTAGTAGCATTTTGACAAACTTCCAAATAACCCTACTTGGGTTGTAGGTACTGTCATTGATGTATTGGTCAAACCTGGAATCTAGTGTAGTAGTATTTGCTGTAAATGGTTGCTGCATGCTGTTTAAGAATACAAAGTAGAGGCATATAGAATATGGCCATAATGTATTAATAGAAGGAAGTACAATTGGTTTGTTCCTCACTTTTTGATACATACTCTTTTTGTTCATTAATTTCAAACCAGATCTAAATTTGGTTTCAAATGTGTGTTACCGTAGTAACTGTTGAGTTCTTGCATTGATTTTGTTGGTTAGTAAACTTGTGAGAATGTTATATCTATTATGAGTTTTTATGTACCGGTAGTATGAAGATTTTTTGTTTCTTGTCCTTGTTCCTTCCCATTGTAAATACATCTCAATAGAGACTTGAAATTTGAGGACATTTTTATGTTAAGATAAATTTACTGTAGTTATTATTAGTATGTATTCTAGATATTTCAATAAATGGCATGCATTGTTCATCAAATAAAAATGTAATCTTAGAATCTTTTACTGTTATGTCACATGTATGTAGGTCTGCTTGGTGTGAAATGACTTTGACAAATTGAACACTTAAGTAAACCCATTCAGTAGCCAGTATCTCAGTGTTGAGCAGCGTGGCTGCATGTTATGTGTGGAGGCAGAAATAGTGCAACCACAGTAGTAGACGCGTTTCCCAAAATAAGCATTGCGCGCCACCTCGTTGCACCACCATTTTGGGGCGCACAATGCTTATTTTGGGAAATGACGCCGGCGCATTCGGGTGGCACAGAGTATCGATTTTGATCCCCACACATACCTCGTACAACCCAGCTGATGCTGGTCAAGCTATCTCTGTGTAGGTACAGCCCAGCTGCTATGCTTACAGGTAGATGTGGCCATCACGACTTCTACAAGTAACCACTGTGGTTGCACTATTTCTGCCTCCACACATAACATCATGTAGCCACACTGCTCAACAATTCATGAATAACAGTCTCAATGTCTCTTCACATAGTAGTAGTCGTCACTACTACTACTACTTCATCACATACTACATTCATTTATGTAGCACTTAAAGCAGAAGGGTTGTCACCTGCGCACGTGCAGGAATTGAGTCCCAAGCGATGATAACACATACTAAAAACGCAAAGGCTCATGGGTAGACGATTGTTGTAAACAATGACACGCTATGGCCATCTGACGCATGCGCAGGTGATCACTCCCCCCGCTTTAACCATCATCTTACTTTCTCGGAATTATTCTATTTATTCATGGACTTCACTATTGGGAACTCACTTGGGACTATCCCAGGTTTAACCTTAGTTTGTTTATTTCCATTTTGCATTGTTTGTGGTTCATATTGAGTCCCCTTTAAAAAAAAAAAATGTTTTCGTATTTTTTTTCATTGGTAACAAAAAATAGCAAAATTTTGCTAAAAAAATATACTGTTCAAAGGATTACTGTAATATGTTTCTTATAGAGGGCGCACCCACACAAATGAAACATTTAAATCGCATGAATTCAATAAAATCCTCAAATTGTGAAGATTTCTAGCAGCAAAAATTAAGTGGTTTACAGTACCGGAATATATAGTGTTTTGTGAAGTATGTGTTCATTATTTTTAAGGGATCTCTATTGAAACTGCTGCTAAAAGTAATTTTATGCATTTGAAGTTTTTTCTCAAAAAACAAAACTGCTATAAAATCTGTATTAGACACCGCGGCTTCTACTAAAATGGTACAATGCAAGAGAGGGGATATGGCTTCTATTAAAGCATCTACACATATGAGAAATGGTGAACTTTTGGGTCTCAATTGTTCAAAAAGAATGGGTGTGACTTCTATTAGGGATGCGGCATCTAATACAGATTATATGGTAGTAGTACATAAGCAGAGAACATGCATATTTGTCATTCTTTGCTTAGAGAATTATGAAAAGTTGACACATTCCTGATTTCAGTTTTTTTCTCAATTATTGTAGCATTTAGAAACTGGTTATTTTCTTTTGGGGGTGGGTGATGCCAGGAAGTATATATGGTATTGCAGAAGTAGGAAAAGACCACTCCACCCTCAGCAAAAAAAACAAAACGGGGTGCCCCCCCATAACATCTGAAAATACAGTGACACCCCCAAAGAACTTGATTTTTTGTTATTAACTACTTGGTTTACCATAGATAAAGTTTTGTGACGTGTCTCCTGGTTCCTTCTCTCCTCCCTGATCTGGCGATATAGACATCCTGAATTGTCTCAGTTTCTTCATCTTAACAATCACTCCTGATTTCTTAAACAACAATTTTAGCAATCTCTGAATCATCATCCATAGAATGTGTTTATTTCTATCGATGGTCTGTGATTTCTTAATGTTCTCCACTATTTTGTTCTGCATCTCATCTCTCTCTGCTTTTTATAGAACATCACATGTGACAGTTCTGACTTTAGCTTGCTTCTTACCCTTCCTAGACAAACTGATGTTTAGATATCGTCATATCTGTTAGTTTACCATTTACAACAATGTCCAACCAGTTATAGTCTCTATATTCTTTCTCCTTCTTTTGTTGTGGTAGTGC